TATTTCTCTCTTGAAATTGATGAGGTGACTGCAGCTATTACCTCTGATAGTAAATGAATGGTGGACTTGGCAGTGTTAGGTTTATGGTTGGATTGGATCTTAAAGATCTTTTCCAAGCAAAATGATTCCATAATTCTACATTTTGGTGACAGATAACAGCAGTAGTTTGCTTGTAGTGCTTACCATCACTAAGAACTAGTTCCAGTAAGATTTTAGGTGGCATAACCCTTTCATTTAAAATGCTCAGGACTTATGCTGCCTTTAAGGACAATGCTACACAAAATTTCTATTTAATTAGTTACCAAGTCACAGAATGGGTTGGGTTGGCAGGGACCACAGTGGTCCTTGCTCTGGCAGGGTCATCCTGGAGCACCTGGCATGGGATTGTGTCCAGATGGTTCTTGAATACCTCCAATGAGGAAGACTCCACAGCTTCTGTGGGCAATCCATAATTCAGTCATTTATTCTGTAACTAGAATGCAGATCTGTTAACCAACAAGATGTGCATCTTAACCTGTTCTCAAGTCAGACAGGGCTGTAGCACCACTGTGCTCTCAATGTGTCTTTTTTTGTGTGGCTTAAGGCATCCCTTACTTTACACAAAAGTGAACATCTTCATCAAGTCCAGGCACTTCATTTGAATATTTGCCTGGGAAGTGGTATCTCTGTAACCTGGAGCTAGAGGAGAAGGTTGAATTCAGCCACTCCCTGAGTTGAGTGGTTTAATTCATGCCTTCTGAAATTAAACACCACCAATAACTCTATTCATGCAGCATTTGTGTGGCATCGGGCTTTAAAAACTTGTGAGTTTTACCGAGTTTGGTAAGAATCAGTCTTAAAATACATAAAGAGTTTTGGTGCATTTAACTGCAAAAAAAGATTTTTTTTTTTTTTTTTTTTTTTTTTTTAACTGAAGCAGCAATGTTTCCTTGCAGGAAGGAAATCTTAGTGGGTTACCACTTCTGATAGACAACTATGTCCCACCATTGGAAGGACTGCCTATGTTTATCCTGCGCTTGGCCACAGAGGTATAGTCTCTCAATGATTTTATTAATGCACAATTACTTTTTTTACTTTAGGCAATTCCAACCTGCCTTTTCAATTTCTGGTGCAGCTTAAATGTACTCTTACATTTTGCAAATGCTGTTCTGTGGTTACTGATTAGTTATGCTTTGCCTTTGTATTCATTACTACTGACTGAGCCTCTATTTTGATTTAAAAGTCTGCATTCCTACCCTCCTTTTTCATTCTGTACCTTTACCTTACCAGGACAAAAATGGCCAACACATTAATATAAATTTTCCATATTAAGAATCTCTGTATTATATAATTTTCCATATTATGTCTCTGACTGCTACCCAGATTCTCTAAAATAACTTTTTTTTTTTTTTTGTAACAGGTAAACTGGGATGAAGAAAAGGAGTGTTTTGAAAGCCTGAGTAAAGAACTAGCCATGTTCTACTCCATCAGAAAGCAGTATATAATAGAGGAATCCAACCCAACAAACTCTCAGGTATTAGAAAACTAACTAGTTCTGTGAGCAGAGAATTAACAACATACAGAAAACTTCTGCTCTTTCAGATGTAGACTTCTAATCCCAGGTCTTTCAGGGAACTGAATCAAGTAGCAGTGTGGCAAGATCCTGAAAGAATGTGGCTTAAATTTTCTGAAGTATTATAGGTATTGAGGGAACCTTTTAACTTTGGGCATTGCAGTGTACTTAGTATTATTACAAGCCTCCTTAGCCTCTGAGTTGGGATGCTGTATTTCTATAGAAGAATAAGGATGCAAATAAATTACAAGTACAACCTGATTGTGTCTACATATCTGCCTAATCAATCAGTTAAGCTCACCCATTCTGCAAGTGACTTTACAGAGCTTAGAACTGACTGTATAGAATGAACTTTTCTAATACCAGCAGAATTTTACAATTGCTGTAGTCTTACATAGTAAAGTTTTTAAGGCATGCTCTCCTCTAGTTAAACAGAACCTCTGTTTGTCCTTGTTTTCCTGTATTTCAGAATGAAGAATCTGAGTCTGGTTCAACAACATGGAAATGGACTGTGGAACATGTGCTTTACAAAGCTTTTAGGACTTATCTTTTACCTCCTAAACACTTTGCAGAAGATGGCAACATTTTGCAGCTTGCTAACCTGCCTGACTTGTATAAAGTTTTTGAAAGATGTTGAACAAGTAGTAATCAAAGACTGTTTTTTTAGACAGACACTATTCATGTTACCTTCAGTTTCACTTAGTAGAAGATAAAGCTGGAATCTTGATGGAGGAAAGAAAAAAGGGATTTAGTGCCCTACTAAACTGCAAACATTACAGTAAATCGTCTATTTTCCTTCTGTTGATCAAAGTGTAAAAAAAATCATTTTTGCTGTGTCTAAACCCAGTGAAAATCCCTAAAATAAAATCTCCACTTACACTCTGAGTTTCCCTATTAACCAGTCTGCTAACAGAATACATTTCTACTGAAGAAAATATATTGGGTTAAGTGATTGTGGAAGAAGATAAAGCGTTCACATTTCAACTAAATTAAGCTCTAACTTCGCTTGCCCCTGGAAATCAAACTAGGTTACCTGCATTCCTTTGTTTTAAGCATAAAGGTTGTCTGACAGTACCTGCAATATGAATGTACATGCAAAGCACTTAAAATCATCTGTTACTGCAGGAGTTAGTCTTGTAATATTTCAAGGTCCTTGCAGAAATAAGGCAAATCCCATCCCTTTTAATCAATGAGTCAGAATAGAAATGGGAATGTTCTGGCAGATAATAAATAAGCATGCACACATAATATTCATTGTCTCTAGTTTAATGAGTAGGTTTTGGGAGATCTGCTACTTTCAAGGCTGTGTCCCAACAGGGAAAACATTTTTCTAAGTCCAGAAGGCATCTAGCATCCAAACTAGAAAGGAAAGCAAGCTTCATTATTGCACTGTAAAGATTTCCATTCCATTTGAAAGCAGCTGGTACAAGCAGGAGCATTAATCCTCTTGGTTTGCTGAGGTCCCAAACCCTGCCTTACACTGAGAAATACTCATCAAGGGCAGCAGTTTGATACGAGTCCAAAAAGACAAGTCCTCTCATATGGGCATCTGCTGGCCTCAAGGGAAGTATTATACAGGGGCTGTGTAACTTCATTTATTTCAGGGTTGCCAAGTGCAGATGCTGAATTTCTCACCTGTGATGTGCCACCTTCAAAAGAGTGGGAGCTCTCAATAGTAGAAAACCACATAGTTCCAGAAAGCATCTTCTTCCTTCTGCTCCCTCTCTTTGATGACAGTCCTGGCAATGGGTTAACTCCTGGAGAATCCTGTCTTCCTTAGCCAGCCCAGCAAATGAAATCTCAAGTGAGTAACTGGCTTCACCTGGCCTCAGCTCACATATTACTTCTGGCAATGAGGGGGCATGGAAATTGTGGAAAATACAGGGACTACTAATGAAAATTGTATTTGTATTGTGATTTCATCGTATCTTGCCCTTGCTAACATGCTTGTCTCGTGATTTCAACATACTGCTGTATCACTCTTCACATTAATGCCCAATAGATCAAGTAAGTAAGTTCGATATTGAATATGAAAAATTCCCTCTGTGGAACATCCAAAAGAACCTGGACTCTGACATGTACATGTGAGAAAGGTCTTTAGATCACTACAGGCTTACCTGATATGTTAAGTGTGGCACCAGTCTGGTCTGCACTCTAATGCCATGTAACAAATGCCAGCTCCTCATCACACTGCTGTTGCTGTGTGGGTACCTGAACCCCCACAAAACTAACAACCTCCAAAATCATAAGATGCTTATTTAGGAGAGGCTTGCAGAATCTTTACCTGACATCTCCCACATATAACTATTCATGTCTGGTGTAACAAAATACCCCCCATCCCAAGGATTTTCTGTCACCAGTGCATATGGCTTGTTCCGCTTTGCAGTTTTTGTATTCCCTTTTTTCCAAGTACTGAACTGCAGGAGGACACAGGCACCGAGAATAGGTTGAATTTCTTAGTTATGCAGAGGAATTTCATATTGCAGATTGAAGAGGATGTTCAAGTAAAGTCATGAGTTGTGCAACTCACTATGAAGTTCATAGGTTTAATGGAACCTTTGATCTATCCCAGAGGTGTTTTTCTCACTGAATTTAATCACAGAATCGTTAGGGTTGGATTGGACATTTGGACATAATCTGGTCCAACCTGCCAAGGCAGGGTCACCTAAAACAAGTGACATAGAGGAATGCATCACGGTGGGGTTGGATTGGACATTTGGACATAATCTGGTCCAACCTGCCAAGGCAGGGTCACCTAAAACAAGTGACACAGGAACGCATCCCGGTGGGGTTGGAATGTCTCCAGAGAGGGAGACTCCATGAACTCCCTGGGCAGCTGTTCAGTGCTTTTCTTTACACTCTCAGTGTAAAGAAGTTCTTCCTCCTGTTGAGGTGACACTTCTGGTGTTTTAGGTTACAGTCATTGCTCCTTGTCCTGTCACAGGGCACCACCAAAGAGTCTGGCACCATCTTCTTGGCACCTGCCTGAGAGATATTTATCTGCATTAATGAGATTCCCTCTCAGTCTTCCCTAGACTAAACATGTCCAGCTTCCACAGTCTCTCCGGTTAGGAACATTCCAACATTGTTAAATGACAGGGTTTGAATTTCTCTGTCTTCTAATAGTTTATTCTCAGCTGCATCCTCTGAAACAGATCTTGGCTATTCTGAAGCAATGTAAGGGATAAACTTAGTCCTGGCTTATATTTTCATTCAGCAGTTACAGAAGAGAACTTTAGGAAGAGCATACTGAAGCCAATGCCACAAAGTGATGTGCCACTACCACTAACATGGCCTCCCTACAGGCCATGTAGGGAGCACCAAACAGTACTATAACACATTTTGCACAAAATCTAGGCAAACTGGAGTCCTTACTGCTCCACATATATAGAAGTGGTAAATGTAGATTTTTCCAATGACAAAGCAATGAAATATCATAATGAATTACTCATGTTTTAACATTTTTATTTTAGAAAGTGAACATATCCATTAAAAAAAAAGAAAATGCATGGAGTTAAAAAAAAGTAAACATAAACTAATGACAAACTGCAATAACATAAAATAATTTTATCTAATGAGACCCAACAATTATTAAATATACTTCCACCACAGAGAAGTTTTACTTCATTATATTACCAGTCTCTTGATTAGGTACACAAGACAACACTTTCCAGTAATTACCTAGTCATTAGAAGATCAACTTCAGGAATCACTGAATAATAAAATACATTGTGGACAAATACTTTCATACCACCTTGGAGGCAACCTAATATACATATGTCAACAAGGTACATCTTCATGAGGTATTACAGTACATGGGAACCATTCCCTTTACTTTCTAATGAGTAAACTCTCCTGTCAGCAGCTCTGCCAGCAAGTCAGTCACAGACTCTTGTTGCCAGTTTCCAAACCCCAACAGCTTCCTGCAGAGATTTTCTTTCTGCAACAGATCACACAAGTCAGGATGAATGAAGATGGGAGTAAAGAAAACATACTGTAAACAGGTAGGCTGAAAAGAAAAGGTCATCCACTCTTCCAGGTGAGCACTAGAAGGCTTCAAATCAGAAGCTTCCGATTCTCAAGAACATTTAATACCTCCCCCAGCTTGAGCTTTGCTATAAGCGGTAAAGTGAAAGCACGGGGCATGATAATTCCAGAAGTAAATTAAGTAATTTCCAAAATAAGGAAGTAATCTCATATTTAAACAAAGTACACTACAAAAATGTTAAGATGAGGCTGCTCCAGTGTAACCCACTTGTAGTTTTAAACAGGAGGGGAAACAGCAAAGCAGGGTTGCCCGTGAAATCTTCAGGCATACCTGTCCTAGATTTAAACCAAATAAAATATTTTCCTAGCATTTTTGTGCTTTCGTCTCCAAAGAAATGTATCTCTTTGCTGCCAAAAAAAGGAGCTTTTACACATCTGGTCCACCACTGTCCTTTCCAGGAGGGCCAAAAAATAAATGCAAAGGAACCCGACTCTAGGCTCTCAAGACTTGGCAGGATTTCCTCCTTGAAGGCTGCTATGAGAGACAGACTGAGTTCAAAAATTATGAATTCTTCAGAGTTAACATACCATTTAATTTGTTTGGAAAGGAACTAGGAAGAAAAAGCATATCTTTTGGAATATTCAGGTTCTACGCAAAGTAACTTACCTGCTTTTTCTTATTCGCTATACAATTGGTTTTTCACTGTCTTGTTTTTCTTCAGAGTCTTCATCAGAACCTGAAAATGAAGATAAGAATGCTGTAGATCAATTGAGAGAAGTTAAAAGACATAAAAGTGTTAAGCTTTTTCTTTTTTTGGACAAATTAATCTGAATGTCTTTCATTTTTGGAATGGCACATCAGCTGCGTATTGAAGTTCAAATTGTACAGAAACGGAATAAATTTACTCTTTTCAGGCTGATTTTCCACTTATTATCTCCAGAATAGACTTGGTTACCAAGTAACCAATGTCAAAGATGAAGGGTCGGCACATACAAAACAGTGGCTACAGGGCATGTCCCTGGACACATGTAGCTTCAAGAAAGACAAAAAGAGAAAAATATGCTCAAAATTCATTTTATATGTCACCTCCTAAAAGCAAAGATTTGTTTTTAAAAATGTTGCCATATCAGCAGAGAAGTTTATTCCCTGCTGCATGATCACAGGGGATAGTTTATCTCTAAATATTTGTCAAATCAATACGTATAGCAAAGTGACCAAAAATTGCTCTCTTACTACAATCCACAGTTTGTCTTCTCAGAAAGAAATACAGATTTTTGAAAAAAAATTTTAATCATGAGCTATTTTTACTCTACATTATCCAGCAGTTTCACTCTGTGACTACCAGTGTGTGTTAGTTCAAATATATTAATCTGTCTGTCTCTTCTGAGTCTCCTACCCATAAAGGGTGCTCAAAATGTACTTGGCAGTCAGGGCAGACCTGGAAAAAGCACCTGAGCTGTTACTTAATCCCACAGGACAAGCTGAAAGTAATGGCACACCTACAGTCAATACATGCATGCTGAAACACAACTTCTCACTGCATAAGCAACACTGACCCAGCCACAATGTCTAGAAAAACATGTTAGCTTCATTTACACTTCCTCTCACACTGTGTATTCTGTTGCTACAAAAAAAAACCCGCAAAACCCAGGCTGAACAGCTGAGTCCAGTACAATACTTCAGTTATTCCTCAAAGCAGATCCATAGTTTCAGCTAAAATCCATTTTCACTTTGAATCACTGGTTATAGTCAACGCTAATGCTCAGTGACCCCTAGATGGAGCTCGAAGTCATTCACTAAGCCAAGATGCTCAGCAGAGAGAAACCAGAGACAGACATTAAAATGAAAAATATCACCGACATCTATAATTCTATAATGCAAGAGAGGCAAACTTGTAGTAGCAACTAGCAGATATTATTTTAATTATATTGCATTATACAGCACAGCTTTGCAAAGAGGTTTACATTCTAGGGAAAAAAGACTGATACAGGAGTTGGGGGTCCCCACTGTATTCTCAGGGAATTCATATTGATTTGATTCATTAAGAAATTACTTTTTTTCCTTTAAATGCTTGCGATACATTCTTGAATCTTGCAGTATTTACATTTATTTTTTATTTAATCAACTCATGTCTCAACTAGACAAACCAAATGATATGCAGAGTTAAGATGCACTTAACATTACCGAGACAGGTGAACCTTTTCATAGAGAGAAGGCTTTTTTTCTTTTTGTTATGAAAAAAGAAAAGAAGCTCTGATTCAAATTTCAGTTTACCTTATAGCAGTTTCAGGTTCATTGTCTATCATAAGACAGTATAAAGCTCCAAATTTAGGCTGGATTAAATTGTGCATTGCTGCATAAATGCTATTGCTGGCAGGTAAGAGACCACAGAGTCACAGAACATCTCAGGCTGGAAGGGCCTCATAAGCATCAGTGGTGGCAGAAGCAAACCATAACTGCCCCCTTTCAGTTGTGGTGCTATTTTATTTCAGACTTACCTTGCTTTTAGTCAGAACATGACTTAAAATACATTAATCACGTCTTGTAACTCAGCTGGTAGGTAGCAACTAAACTGAATTACTGAACAAAAAAGCATCTTGCATTTTAGGATGACAAATACAGTTTTCATTTATAAACAAAAATCTATTTTTCCCCTTCCCCTTTGAAGGGCGTGAAATATGCAGGAGTGTAAAGTGAATATGAAAAATCTTTCACTAAGCAAATGTAACTACCTGCTACAGACTCAGGAGGAGAATAGAACTGCCCGTCAGAGAGGACTCCTGGGTGAAGAAGAGCTGCTCGTTCTGAAGCATCCTGTGCTATCAAAAATCCTGAAAGAAAAAAAAAACCCAAAAAATAATTCCTCGGTGCTAACACATAAAATCTTAAAGATCAAATAGTGATGAAGAATCCTGAAGACTGATGTATTATATTAGCACTCCTAACTAGTTACTTCTTTAAATAAGTATCTTTTTAAAAAGCATCAACAATTAATTTAACACTTATGTTTTCTATTTAAATGCTGGCAATTAAGGTGACACACACTAGCAAAATGGAGATATTGCACAAATGAATGAAGGAATTTTTCTTTTTACTATGTGTGATTAAATTATTAGGTTGCCGTATGTAAATTCATCAATATTCACTGGCTAACTAAAACTTCTGAAATACATTTTTAATGATCAGTGAGGTGCCATGCAAAACCAAATAAATTATTTTCTCTCTCTGCCACTATGACCCTTCAAAAATGGCTTGCTTTCACCTATGTGTCTCAACATACTCAGTTTCTGCAACCTTCATGAACTATTTGCATGTGTATGCATTGAATATTTTGTCTGTGAATATTCAATATGAAAAAATGCAAGTCTCCAAACTGGTTAGATTTCTTATCTATTTAGATAACAATGTGATGCAGCTGTAGTTCCTCATCCCCTTACAAGATAAAAAAAATTACTCCAAGTTTCTTTTTCTCCAGGTAAACCCTACTGTTCCCATTTAATCAACTTCTTTCTCAGACCAGTGAAAAAGAAGAGGGAAGAGATCAAAGTAGGAAGACTGCATTCAGAGCATATAAAAATTGAGGTATCCATGACTACGTACAGTTTTTTGACTATCTAACAGATAAACATGCCTTTCCAACAGAATTTCAGACTGTATTTCAGGTAGGGATGCATAAAGAACAGGTTGGCTTTATCATTACTCTCCTGTTGTTGAAAATCACAAGCATCTGTAAGCTTTCCTTCCCTCACCACTCAAGCAGTATTCTCTTTCAACTGAAACAGTGGATTTCCTCCATTTAGTTGAATATATTGAGTATCAGATGAGCTGGTGCCTCATCTCAAAGGCTGAAATTCATACTTGTTCTGGTCTCATTCTGCCTGTGCATGAAACAGACTCTCCACAACACTTCTTTGCTTTTCCCTTTCCACCTCAAAAGAAGAGTTAGTGACATCAAATTAGTTATTGTGTCGACTCTTCCTAAAACAGGAGCCAGACACATTATCCAAAAAATAAAGTTTTACAAGCCCAAGTCAGTTAAATTTTTATATATAAAACATACAAAACTAAACGCATTCCCAACTGCTTGACAAACTGCTGATCTGGCCTTTCTGACTTTTAACTTTGCTTCCCTAAATGAGTTAACACCTCACTTCTTTGAAGGCATATGTTCCCCTTTCCCAAAGAGGGAAAAAATCATGCCATTTGATTTTAATTTTTTCCACAGCTCTTCAAATTGTGAGAAGTTGAAAGAAGCATTCTTCTGCCAGTTAACATGGAACCAAGTGTTGCCAACTGCAGTGACTGAAGGGAAATAACACAAGCTTACTATTTTCTTCTTCAGCTTCTTGTGGTAACACTTTAAAGTCCAGGAACCAAGTTTCAATCCAGGCAAGTATGAAGGATATGATGGGCAGCACATAGCCAAAAGCACCCTGTGAGAACAGCTAGAAAGAAAGAAAACATTACAAAAATTACTCTAAAGAATCGTGCTTTTAAGAAAACAAAGTAAAACAAACATTTGATTAGAATATATACCTGTGAAATAATTACTTTTGCTAATAAAAAGGCACTGGTCACTGCTGTTGTAAACTGAAAGAGACAGAACAGATAAACTAATGAATGAATTTAGTTTCTTATTTCTGCCATTATCTATTAGTTGCAACTTTAAATATTTACTGACTACAGCAAGATCACATAGACTAATAAAATGTAACAAGCATGATACAATTAACTTGAAGTGTTATTAAAATAACATTATTAAAGGCAACTTTTAATACAAACACCTCAAAACATTTGATTTCCACATAGCATTTGTGTAGAATCTAAACTGCCTGAGTTAAGCAAGTTGTGATCTTACTGTATAATAAAGATAGTGTACTTTATTCATCAAGTCCTTTTAAAAAAACCCAACTATTTACACACTTGGGAAAAAAGGTAACAGCAGTTATTCCAAATGCTTTTCACTACCATCCAAATCAAAATATCCATTTCAAAAAACAAAACATCTTTTTGGGAGTAAATTGGAATAAATATTTTAATTCATGAAGTGGTATTTTAAAAAATTTTTTTTTTTGAAGACTTGATACTATCTGATATATTTTTAAAAATCAGCATGCTGGATAAAGTATCTAAAAAAACCCAAAAATCTGAAAAAGCAGTAAACAAGTACTGTTCACATAAGCAAGGCCTGTGTATCTTCTAGTGTATTTGGGTTCAGCAATTATTTAAAAAACAGCAGAATCAACTTCTGTCAATCACAGGTAGGATGTTAAGATTCAAGGCTTTGGCAAAACCTTCAGCGGAGCTTTATGTATCTAATTACTTGCTACCATGATGGCTTCACTCTCCCTCCCTCACAAGCAAAGGCATCAAGTTGGAGGATTAAGAAATATTCTACAGCTACACAACAAAGAGCAAGGACTTTTAAGAAGCATGCATTTAAATATAAGCACAATCAAAGCAGCGTCTGCTACTTTGTATGTGTTTGTGCCATGCTAGTCTATAAAAATCATTCCATGTAGTCTCAGAGCACTAAGCAAACCGCATGCTACTCACTTGAAGAATGTTAGACATGAACATGTTCTACATGCACTTTCCACAGTGTAAGGAAAAAAAAAAAGTCTGATTTACAAAGCACTAAGCCAGCAATACACCTATTGTATTACAACCTTTCACCAAATTTTGCATTCTTCGTCATTTACACTATACAGCTGCATTAAAGATATTGGCTCCAATCCATCGTGGTTGCCTACAGTTCTTGAGAACTTCATTTTTAAGAAGGAATTCATATTCAACCTTTTGTTGAGGTTGTTGAGGAGCATGAAGCAATACAGGTGCTAGTGTTCAACGGGTGGTAGCTAAAACTTTTTAATGTAAGAATGTGGGACTTAATAGGCACTTGGATCTCTGGCACAATAATGCCAATTCTTGTTTTTGAAGAAGGTTCACTATTACAAATGCAAATATATTTCCAAAATTGATTAACAAGTCTCAGACTTAACAAGCAGTTACGGATGACTAGCCATCCATATTGGGTGAAAAATAAACCTTCAATTTGTATTAACATGATACCTAATAAGAACCACATCCACTGTGCTATTAAACTCTTGCCTTTAGGCTAAAAATCTTCTAGAAAACAAGTTTTTAATTTGTTATTTTACAACAAATTTTTATAGATAAACCATCAAGATGATTCTTAACACACAAGCGTTAAGAGGCATCTGAAATTTTGTCTGCTTGATCCATTGTAGGAAAAACTCCATTATGCTTGGCTACTACTCACAGCTATTGCCCACCAATGGCGCAGTCTGCACATTGCATATGCAAGTATTAACACCTTAAACCGAAAGACTGCCAGTAGCTATAAAGAGAGGAAAAAATATTGGTTGGTTAATTCAGAACACAGAAGAACCACAATAGTCTCAACTCACCAAGAAAATACTAACTACTTACAAAGAAACTTAGGACAGTCTAAGTTCTGTTACCAAGAAACAAATTTGAATGTGTCCTTATAAAACAAAAATAGGAAGTAATATCCCATTTGTAAAGCAAATAGCAACATCCATCTGTCTAGACAGGCTTAAATATGCAAGCATGTGCCATTCCACTAAAAAGTTAAAAACAGAAGAAAACTATAGAAAGTGTCTTCATGACCATTTTACCTGACTGGAATCTTAAACAGTTATGTCAATCCAGATTAACAGCTGGATGCAGTTAATCCAGCAAATACCTTGCACATCACTGTGCATCTCACTGATCTTAGCAGTGTGCTACTATACTTGTAGTACTTTGTGAAATATTAAGATTGCAACAATCAATTATTCTTTATGTGGCTGCCCATAATAGCAAGTCATTCTATTTGGCAGTAGAGAAATCTAAATTATGGTATTTGAAGGCCAGAAAATTAAATCAATAGCAAACAGACAAGATCTCTGAATCAGGACTCTGAGCTTCAATTTCACTGTTTATTTTTTGAGAGTTGATTGTCTCCAACTTTTTTACAAGTATGTGTTCAGAATCGAAAAAATGTGAAACAAGTGCTTAAAAATTGAGAGAAATCAAAGAGAGCCATGGCCAGAGGTATGATAAATCCATTTAATCTTACGCAAATGTGTAGTAGAAACAGAGGAAATCCTGACCCACAAATAATTTTGCAAAATTTAAAGTTCTAGTTCCTTCCCAGGGAATAAAAGTCTATTATTTTGCATTATTTTGAGAAGTTGGTTCACCTACAGGATAAAGTAATTTCAGAGTATCAGTGTTTACAGATAACATTTTTTGCCTTCTGCAGCATGGTATATCATGGAGACCCTGTCAGCAAAACAATGGAAAAGGGAGAAGAAGCATAATTTGCTAGCTTATAAAATTTTTCAATCTAGTACGTAAATTCATTTGACACAGCAAATATCCAATGCAGAAGTAAGGATGGGTTTTTACACCCTTTTCAAAGAGAGATTCTGGATATGGTCATCAGTATGAAATGACTGATACCAAATCAAGTCATCTCTGCAAGGCAAAGAAGATCTGGTAGAATTAAGAATCTTGCCCTTTAGAAGAACTGTAAAGAAAAAGCTTTTACTTGGGCTGTGCAGTGCAAAACGCATTGCTACTACAGAGCTACAGCTTTGCTTAAAGAAAGAAATTTCCTAATGCAATTGAGTTCCTCTTACGTGCCTAAGCTACGTATACATAGTAAGGGAGCATCATTATGTCATCTGTTTTTACTGTTTGAGTTAAAACACAGAACTCTGAAAAACCTGCCCTGTGCAGGCCACCCTGGGCACAAATCTCTCCTCACTGCAGCCACCTTATGCCCAATGAAGGACAAAAACGTTGGTTTAAGCAAAATGATTTTAGAGTGGAGCGCTATGGGTCTTGTCCTCTTAATGAATTACCTTATGTCACATCAAAGTCACATTCTTGACTGGGTTTTCAATCTGCTTTTCCACACACCCCAAAGCTAAAGATGCAAATCGATTGGCCCTAAGCATTTCTATCCACAGGCTCCCTGAGCCTGCTGCCAGAGCAGGATTGGGTAACCCCTAGATGGGTGAAACTTGGCCCTTCTGCTTTAAATTATCAAGAAAAGATCAACCCTTTCACAAGACTCAAACTAGGAAACATCTGTGAAAGGAGGAATGTGAAAACTATACTTTTGCTGCTTCTTTTTCTTTTTTTAAGAACACTTACAAATATATCAAAATATGAAGAGGAGTAGTCATAATGTAGGACTTCTTTCTCTAACGTAGTCTCAATGCCTCCTTTTACCTACAAAGGAACAACAATACACACAGCTTCAGAAAACAAAATACACTCAAACATGAAGAGTAAAAATACACTCAAATATGAAGAGTAAAACTAACAAATCCCTGCTGATATACAAAAAGATCATTAAACTACATACAGAAGAGCTGTCTGCCAAGAATGATAGCATCAAGACTAATGCTCTTATTTGTTTTTCAAGATTGCATAGACTTTTCAAAGTGAAAACATTTAAGATTTTCATCTGGCCTAGGCAAGCCAGATGTTTCAGGCTGTCTCAAAATAAAAGCAAACAAGTTATTGAGGGAGGAATAAATGATTAAATGTTAAGGTCTGTTATATAAACTCACAAAGCATTTTACCTCTTATAAGGAGGATCAAAACAGTTGATCAAAAAGCCAACCATAATCCAGTCCTAGTTAGTCACATGTTAGCAAATAGGAAAGAGAACAAAAATTGAATTCATACTTCAGATTTCTTCCTTATCAGCCCTCACATGATTTGTTAAGAGAGCTGAGCCAAAAGATTCACAGTAAAAAAAGCAGAAGCTGAAACTATTAGACTAATCTCCACAAATAACATTCAAGTTTAATTCTTCCATTTGCTGATGAGATTCAGAATAATATCTTCCTTAGCCACCATGTTTTTTTTGAGTGGAAGGAGTCTACTGTTCAAACTGGCCTTGTAAGAAAATAATTCAATGTGCATTGGCTCAGAGAATGAAAGGAATATCTATCTTAGTTGCAAATTAAAAACTTTAGTGTCCATTTCCTATTGCTTTTAATATGAAATTCCATAATTAAGCACTGCATGAAATAGTTATGTAAAACAATACCAACAGAAGGCTTTAATATTGAGTTCAACTACTGTCATCTTTTTAAGGAAAGGAGTTACCAAAGCATGTCAACAACATATGCTCACTATCTCAAAGCAATGCAGTCTACACACTTCCACACTTTTCCAACTACACTGCTGGACAGTGTTTTCCTAAGACTAGTCACTCCAACTCTGAATTTCTTCTATTTCTTCGCCTCTCCCTCCCCTCTATGTCTACGTAACAAAACACTTTCAAAATACAGCTTTCCCATGGTTGTTCTACTGCATCAAGTGTGATTATCTATTTCCAGCATAAATAAGGAAGATCAGCTTCCCCCACTCCAAGCTGCTCATCACTATGTGGCTGTGTGAGCACCATGTTAAAATAAGGATAAACATAGAACCATGAAAGCCTTGATTTTTGCTCAAAATGCCATGGAACTACTCCCCGAAGCATTTAACAATAAACTATGCTACACCTAAGGAAACTGGATAACTGCAACAAAGTGAAAACAAGGTTTACAGAACTCTCATAGCAATTCAATTGGTGCATAATTACTTATGCGCCAATAACACAGGGTCCTAACACAATGCTGTATGACTTCTCAGAAAACAAAGCAATTCAACGAAAAACAGAACCAAAAACCTAAGCATGTGCCAAATACCAGATATAAAATTTTAACTTCTAATATCATTGACTTCTAATGACAAAAACCTGGTTTTTATTCTTGCTGACATGTGGCAGTATAGGACACCAGTTCATAATATGTTGTCCTGAAATATAACTTTTTACAAAGAAAACTGCTGTGATCTTGAGATCCCTTGATACAGTAGCATTTAAAATGAAACACCATGATATCATGAGTTGGTAGCATTTTCTATTCAGAATCTTCAATATTCTAAGAGCACTCATGAAAATCTGTACTCTGAAACCTCAACAAGACATATAAACCCACTCTGTTCCTCTTAGTTGTACAAGCTGTTGAGAAACTGGCCTAAAAAAAGAATGGCATCAGAACACTATGCTACAACCATTTTTCCACCTAGAGAGAAACAGAAAGTCTAGTCCCAAAATTACATCATTCAGGCAAGCAAAACCTGCTCTCTCAAATTACATCAGAATGAGTATTTTCACTGTATCAATGAACTATTGAAGAGACAGCTCCTGAAGCTTCATAATGTAAATTAATAACCAAGGTTATTTATTTAGTAAAGAAATGCTGATTAAAAATATTTACTCCAGATCTTTCTTTCTAGAAAAGGGATTGCTCCCTAGTGTGTCCTTTCTTAAATGCAAACCAGTATATAGCTTAATACCTAGCTCAAGAACTAGGATGCTACTTATGAAATAACAACAAATGAGCTATCCTGTTGCTTTGTGGAAATTTTAGAACAGCCTCATTTTCCAGATTACAAATGCTGGAGTTAAAAGGTGACAACTGTGGGAGTTTATTTAGTTGTTTAAATGCATCCTGCCATCTATAATGTATGATGCACCAAGTTTACATCAAAGAAAATACAGCAAAAGAAAAATTTTGGCCATTTTCAGGGACTAACACCTCAGTGAAATATCACTGACTTAAAGTTACTCAAAAGGCAGAGTCTTGAATCTGGTTAAAATTCACACTTCTTGCTAAATTCAAAGACGTACAGTAACATTTCTGTATTTGATGCCTGAAGACTACACTGGATTTCCAATGTTTTTTTCAGCATGGCTCACAGACTACAGGAACATCTAAAGGTTTCATATAAGATAAACACATATCTTAATTCATAAACGTAGATGCAGTTGAGTAGGTACTGTGTTCATGGAAGCTTAAATAAGCTGCTTAAACTTAGATAGATAAAAATAACATAATTTTGGTTAGAAAGGAGCAACTTATTAACTGTCCCTGTAGTGAATAAAACCTTAATATACTGTCTAAAGGTAGGTACTGAAAAGAGAACTCACATTTAATTCTATTATCCAGAGTAAGGTTATGAATAAGAGATCAAATGTAACAAACAAACAGAAAGTCCTTCTGACATCTGATATGCCTTTCTTCTCCCTGCCTTCATATGACTCAATCCTTGCCATCAGCTGCGTTGGGTTGATGGAGTGGACATCCCGCAAGGAAGGACAAGATTCCACACTGCTACTGTGAGCATTTTCTGCATCAGCTGGGACCCGAATCATCCTGTGTTTGCTTAGAGTGGTCTTCTCCCAGTTTCACCATCACTAGAAGGCTGATCCATACAGGAAGAATTTCTAAACAAACAAACAAAACCAAACCACATTAGTCAACAAACCCCCATAATTCCAAGAGGTATTTTCATCTTACAATGTCAGTTCTCTTTTGGCTAAACTGATGACTAAGAGAATTAGGTAAGTAGGCCCTAGAAATTGTTTCTAACACAGTATTGAGTATCCTCTTCATCTCTCAGAGGATTTGTGAAGCAAGAGAATTAATGTTCAATTAGGCCATTTGAAATAAGGGAGAACTGTCTAGATTTAGAAGGGTCATTTCTCCATGCTGTTAGAGTGAGATTATTGAATACAATGAATAAAAAACATGATGCTGTGCAACCTTTAAGGTTTTAAATACTGACTTAAATGCTCTCAATAAACAGCAAGACAACTTAGAGGAATTTCCATGTACAATTCCTTAAAAATAGCAGTGTTAGTTAATAGCACATCCAGAGCTGACACAAACAAAAGATGAAAAGTCCATTAAAATCCCTGAATAGTGTAGCAATCATTCTATAAAGCACGTACATTGCTATTTGCTCTGTAAATTCAGCTGCTATAGCGACTTACACTGCCAGACAGTTTCTCCATGAAAAAAGTGTGTGTAACTAGTGGTTAAAGGTAATGCAATTACCCTAAGTCTCTTCTGACTACAAGGCTTTCGAAAGAATTTCAGGCTAAATTTCCTATAAAACTGGAGCAGTTTGATGCATGAGCCACTTAATCCTCCATGAGAACATTTGTCCAATTAAAGCTTCTAGAAAGGGCAGACTCAGAAGGTCACAAAAGTTTCATGGAAACACAGAGAAAATTTATTTTTATGCAAAATGCTCAGATGATTAACTTATACATCCTGCAGTACAAACCACATCAGACAAGTTTTTGTAATACTGAGGGAATAGCTTTTTTAAATTCAAGAACAAAACTTTGCCTCCTCCTGCGTGCATTATCTTCCAGTAAATGGCAAGAGATAGAGAAATTCTTCCCACTCCTGTCTTTCAAACAACTCTTTTCCTCTGTCAACTCCAAAGCTGCAAGAACACAGTCAGTCAAAGCTCAACAGGGCATCTGTAACACACCACTAAGCAAACACAAGGGAGGATACAAGGACACAGGGGAACAGTAAAGGTGGTGTGGGGAGCTGCCAGAGCACACACATCACAGCTGAGGAATAAAAAGGCCAGCCAGGAATGGTCAATGTCTAGGTCAAGTCACACAGAACAGCCTTTAGGGAATTCAAAGCACCAGGCATGGGTGGACAAGCATAATGCACCTTTATATCCTCCTCGTTTGTTTCCACAGCAGCTGCCTGAAACATGGCTGGCAAAGGGCTGTAGAGGAGGGAGACATACATGGTGTGTGTTTGGTCAGGTGCCTTGAGCACTACAGTGAACTTTGGGCCACCTGAACCCGAGGGTGTGAGCAGAATCACAGCACTCCAGTGCTGTAAACAGCACTTGCTTTGTACCAAAAAACTCACACTAAAGAGCCCTGCTGTGTAACAGCAGCCCATAGCAAAATGTTTGGGATGAGACATAAACCTCACATCAGGCCATCAATGGTTATATTTCAAAATAAAAAGAAAAGCTAAGGAACACTTGAAATGCCAAAAGAAAATTCCATCTACATTGGCTAAAATATTTATTTTATTTTGATGTGGAACTCAGTGCCAATTATATAGGAAGTTGTTACTTCCAGTCTGGATTACTGCTAGATACAGCACAGGATGTCAATGCAATTAGTACAGCCAGAATGAATTGTTCAAGAATGTGCTAGTTCAGCATCCATTTGCCTTGTGGGGCCCATTGCAAAGAGAAAAGCATGGTTTTAAAATACACTGGCTACTGGTTTGTTTTCAAGCATGACTCAAAACATCAGATTCAGCTTATAAATCCCATGTACTCTGAAATCCTTACTCCTGACAGACTTTTCTGCCTCAAAGCCCTCTAGACAGGGGATACTCGCAGTAAGGGGATTTGTCTCTAGTCTTGCTCTGCCTGCTGATCCATCAGATCCATGTTTGGACACAAGTCAGGGCCTCTCTCATCACACTAAGCTGGTATCAAAATGTTGATTCTTTAACTGAACAGACATAGGTTGGCAGCTTTTTGCACTCATTGCAACAGCTCTGCAAACTGTTTAATCACCAGGTATGTGCTAAAGATTGTTTACCATAGTTTCTCTCATTAATTAAAATAAAAAGTTCCTTTGTACCTGAATGACATAATCAGTCATTTCATCACACCAACATTCTCAGGTGGTTTCAGGTGGGTGCACAAAAAATTTTTAAATTCTTCTTGGCAGCTGTCTTACAGGCACGTGAGGACTATTAAAAAACAGTACTTCCCTTTTAGTGACGGATGGTGACTTGGCCAGACATTTTCCTTCCCATCTTAGCACTACCAGCAACAACATTTCTCGTCCCTTGCACTTTCAAAGCATCAATCATGCCCCAGCTCTCTCACCCATCACAAATTTGCAGTGGGAGTGAGCTCTGCTCTTCCCTTGGCTCCATTTCTCCAGGGGTCCTTGCTTGTGCAAAACAGCCTGTGCTTGGAAGGGCTGCAGGCTTGCAGCCCCATGAGGAGCTGCCGCTTTTCAGCACTCCTTGTGGGCAATACAAGCACCAGGCAGGCACAGGAGTGCTTTTCATGCATCCCTGGCCAAGAAACTGAGTGGTGGAACAGGTTTAGGAAGGCAAAAAAGGTGTGCTTGTCCTTGACATGTGTCATACTTTTGAAAATACAACACAGTTCTTTTGCATGTAACTATTACTGATCCTTATTCTTGCTATTCAGGAAGCAGGGACTGCTTGGCCTGAATTCATTCTGCCACATTACTTGAGTTTTTGCATCTGACATGATACATGACGTTGTTATTGTTCTATTGGCACAGTTATTGTGCTTTTTAAAAACCAAAATAATTTAAAATCAGAGGAAAAATTATTATAAACTGGGTGTTAGGATGTATGGGATTTGGGTTTTTGAAACTTAAAAAGCAAATTCACCCAGAAAAAAACCCAAAAACATTATCAAATAAAGAGAGAAAATTGTATTCTTACAACTTTTGAGGTTTTTTTTCCTAGAAAGAGCCTTCTTTGTGCATCAGTCAGTTATCAACTTTCCTGTTTCTGGCAAAGATTAATATTTTAGATAATTTTTAGTGTGTTTTTAAAATATCAGTAACATATTTTCAAGACTGCTGTATCATTTGTGGCTTGACCCAGGGTCTCCGATTTGAAGGAAACTGGGATCACCTGGCACCACTTCTTTTGGCTCCAGGCACTTCCACTGTTTGGGTTATTCTATACAGCAGGATTCAGGAAGGATGTGTGGTCAAAATAAACACAGCCTATGAAGAAGTGACATTTAGAGACCAGCTTGTTCATTTTCGGCACAGCCTGGATGCAAGACACTCATCATCAGGATAATAAACAGCCCATAATTCAGAATATTCCATGAAACTCTAAGGGCAAACTTGCCTGGAGAGGTGGAGATCATAGCAACTGTGTTGGATACAAATTGTGCCATTAACTTCTTGCCACAAGACATGTGAGACAGAAATCTGTTCTCCCCACACAGTCCCACAGGCAAATGGCTCTCCACAAAATGTAGGGGATTTGCAATGTTCTGTAGCTCTCTGACTTTCCTTTGCCAGACTTCAAGTGATGGTTTTTCAAGCTAAATTGCATTAACCTGCCCCTGGCTACACCTGCACATTGTGATAATGCTTGTGAACATCTGTTCTGAAAGAGTTAAAAAAATAAAATCCTATTTCTAGTATCTCTTGTGTTATATGTTTTTGAAAGCGTTATCAAAGGTAAAAAAATCCCTGGCATTTCAGGCAAGTAACAGTCTGATTGTAATTTGACTCTCCGTGAGTGCAGAATAGAATATTCAGTTGAAAGGGACAGGAAACAGTCACCTTATCCATCTGCCTGACCACTTCAGGGCTGGCCAAAAGTTTAAGTATGGCATTAGGGGCAATACCCAGACAGACTTGGGGCATCAACCCCTTCTCAAAGAAAACTTTTCCATGGTTTGACAACACTCTTGGTAAAGAAATGTTTCCTCCTATCAAGTCTGAACCTGCCCTGATGGTTGCAGCTTTCAGCCATACCTACATGCCCTAGTACTAGGTACTACTGAGAAGAGACCAGCAACTTCCCTCTCCACCACCTCAGAAAGCTGCAAAAAGCAGTATGGCCACTCCTCAGCCTCCTTCTCTCCAGATGAGATGCAACCTGTGCCTTCAGCTGCTTCTCACAGGGCATTACTTCAGCTCCTCAACCAGCTTCAGTGCCTTCCTCTTGCACACATTTAAGGACCTTCACATCTCTTTTAAATTTTGGGGTCCAGAAATGCACAGAGTACTCAAAATTAAGTTGCAGCACTGCTAAATAGAGTGGGATGATCACTCCTTTTGACCAGATGGTTGTGCTGTATTTGAAGGTTTGCTACTGCTGACTTCGAGCCTGCTGTCAGCCAGCATCCCCAGACTCATTTCTGTGGTGCTGCTTCCCAGCTGCTTTTGAAATTTGTAATTGTGGAAGGTATGCTCTATCCCAGGTGCAGAGTCTGGCATTTGTTGTTCAGTTTCATGCTAGTGATGATTGTTCAGCACTCCAATCCATCCACATCCCTCTGCAGGGCCTCTTGTCCCTTGAGAGTGTCAGCAGCACCTCCCACTTTAGCATCATCAGCAAACTTGCTAATAGTGCATTTGACTTCTGCCTCCAGATCACCGATAAAAACTTTGAACAGAAGTGGCCTCGGGATTGAGCCCTGAGGAACACCACTGGTGACTGGTCTCCAGCCAGGCGTAGCCCCACTCTCTACAACCCTTTGAGCCCTGCCCTTAATCAGTTCTTTCAGCAACCATCTACCTACCAGTATCAAATGCTGTACCTCCCAGTATCAAATGCCTTAATAAAATCCAGGAAAACTATATTCACAACTTTCCTCCATCTACTAGGCAGATGAAATGACAGAATCTACAAGCTTATTGAAGTGTCAAAATAT